CGACTAAAACACATCCTGGGTGCAAACAAAACCGAACTAATTTCGCTCAAAACAATAAAACATCACTACTAATCATAACAATCGATTTTTATATCGCCAACTTCTCGCAAAACGGACACCATATTTCAACCAAAATAATAACGGAATGTCTAAATAAATCATTTTTCTAATCTTCCAAAAAATTTCCTTTATAAATACATTCGTTCCAAAACACACCATACCAATACGGCTTCGATCAACCTCTCGAATCATATGTTCGAATCCCTTAAATTAGGCCAAAATTAACCAACTTCACCATCTCATCATTAACCTAAATCTTATTACTCAAATACGCTTCTATAACACCCTTTTTAAAGGCTAAACCAAAACGAACCAAAACACGATTCCAATTTTAAAACAAATCATTCCGCCCCTCTAAAAAATTGATTTCTTATTCCTCCATAAATCTTTCACCCAAAACAAACCCATACAACATATATAAAAACCAAACCGAAACAACGACCAAAAACGACCAAACAAAAATCGGACTTCATATCCCAAGAAATATCAACAACCTCTATCGCTATTTAAAACAATCTAGCCTATATAATTTAAAACATAATATTTTAAACCTTACACTTAAATATTATATACACCTAAGCACAATATCCTCCAATTTCCATCAAAATTATCCGAATTCCCTCAATACCAAAAAAAACCATCCCTAAATTATATAGATTCATAACATTTAACCTTTACAACATTAACTAAATTTCATAAACTCACAAAGCTTAACCGACACAATATCAATTTCAAACAAACAAACAAACACATAAACAAAAATACAAACAAACATACAAACAAAAATACAGACAAAAATAAAAACAAGCACAAAAACAAGAGACAAAAACAAAACAAAGACAAAGATACACACAAACACACAAACACAGACACACAAACACACACAAACAAATACAAACAAACAGACAAAAACAGACAGACACAAACACAAACACAGACGGACACACACAGACACAGACATAGACAGACACAGACAGACACAGACACAGACGGACACAAACAAACACAGACAAACAGACACAGACAGACAGATAGACAGACAGATAAACAGACAAAGAAACAGATACCAGAGACAGAGAGACCAACAAACAAAGAGAGACAAAGACAGACACCGATAGAGAGACAGAGACAAAAAGATACTTTTTGCAACTCAGGCACCAACATATTTTATTATTTCATAGTATCAAAAAATGTCTATTCGTCGCATGCGAAAAGCATGTTACGGTTCTCCAAACCCAGGTCGCGAGCCGGGCTGGTCGCGATAAGGTCACGCCAAAGAGTCAGTGAAAGGCGGTCGCCTAAGCAAGGTGAGAACGGATCCGCGGGCTGTTGGCCTTAAAAGATCCATCCACACACGCAATTGTTGCAAGCGCAAGCGAAAACGCGATCGACCAGAAAACATCCTGGGTGCAAGCAAAGCCGAACTGATTTCGCCCAAAACATTGGGAAAAACACCACTGGTCGCAACAATCGGCCACGGCTCAGAGCTTCTCGCATCGCCAAACTCTCGGAAAATTGCTACGGACAGGCAGATATATGCCCCGAAAGCGAATCCGGCGCGAATTTGTTGGAGGACTCCCCCTTCTGGGTTTCCAGTGATCAATTTCAGAGAGTCAATTTTCATTATGGGTAAGTCCTCCAGATTTAAGAGGTTAGAGGTTAGAATGCCAATTTTTTCCTGCAGTCTATTTTAATAGGGAGGCTTCCCCCAAAAAGGGGGAGAAAGGGGGACCTAATCGAAAACCATGTTCATCTCCGTGATGTAATCCCGGAGGTAGCGTCCACACCTCGGTGTCCCAAACAGCCGGTTCCCCACCAGCCGTCATCCTCCGAAGATCGCGCCTCTCCCCTTGAACAAAGAGAGAATGGACCCGGCCTCGAAAAATCCATGCCTATATACAATTATTTTAACACACTCGAAAACACCATCGACTAAAACACATCCTAGGTGCAAACAAAACCGAACTAATTTCGCTCAAAACAATAAAACATCACTACTAATCATAATAATCGATTTTTATATCGCCAACTTTTCGCAAAACGGACACCATATTTCAATCAAAATAATAACGGAGTGTCTAAATAAATCATTTTTCTAATCTTCCAAAAAATTTCCTTTGTAAATACATTCGTTCCAAAACACACCATACCAATACGGCTTCGATCAACCTCTCGAATCATATGTTCGAATCCCTTAAATTAGGCCGAAATTAACCAACTTCACCATCTCATCATTAACCTAAATCTTATTACTCAGATACGCTTCTATAACACCCTTTTTAAAGGCTAAACCAAAACGAAACAAAACACGATTCCAATTTTAAAACAAATCATTCCGCCCCTCTAAAAAATTGATTTCTTATTCCTCCATAAATCTTTCACCCAAAACAAACCCATACAACATATATAAAAACCAAACCGAATTAACGACCAAAAACGACCAAAAAAAATCGGACTTCATATCCCAATAAATATCAACAACCTCTATCGCTATTTAAAACAATCTAGCCTATATAATTTAAAACATAATATTTTAAACCTTACACTTAGATATTATATTCACCTAAACACAATATCCTCCAATTTCCATCAAAATTATCCTAATTCCCTCAATACAATAAAAAACCAGCCCTAAATTTTATAAATTCATAACAATTAACCTTTACAATATTAACTAAATTTCATAAACTCACAAAGCTTAACCTACACAGTATCAATTTCAAATAAACAAACAAACACATAAACAAAAACAAAAATACAAACAAAAACAAAAATACAGACAAAAACAAAAACAAGCACAAAAACAAGAGACAAAAACAAAAACAAAGACAAAGATACACACAGATACACAAACACACAGACACAAACACACAGACACACACAAACAAATACAAACAAACAGACAAAAAACAGACAGACACAAACACAGACACAGACAGACACACACAGACACAGACATAGACAGACACAGACAGACACAGACACAGACACAGACACAGACACAGACAGACACAAACAAACACAGACAAACAGACACAGACAGACAGATAGACAGACAGACAGACAGACAGACAGACAAAGAAACAGATACCAGAGACAGAGAGACCAACAGACAAAGAGAGACAAAGACAGACACCGATAGAGAGACAGAGACAAAAAGATACTTTTTGCAACTCAAGCACCAACATATTTTATTATTTCATAGTATCAAAAAATGTCTGTTCGTCGCATGCGAAAAGCATGTTACGGTTCTCCAAACCCAGGTCGCGAGCCGGGCTGGTCGCGATAAGGTCACGCCAAAGAGTCAGTGAAAGGCGGTCGCCTAATCAAGGTGAGAACGGATCCGCGGGCTGTTGGCCTTAAAAGATCCATCCACACACGCAATTGTTGCAAGCGCAAGCGAAAACGCGATCGACCAGAAAACATCCTGGGTGCAAGCAAAGCCGAACTGATTTCGCCCAAAACATTGGGAAAAACACCACTGGTCGCAACAATCGGCCGCGGCTCAGAGCTTCTCGCATCGCCAAACTCTCGGAAAATTGCTACGGACAGGCAGATATATGCCCCGAAAGCGAATCCGGCGCCGAATTTGTTGGAGGACTCCCCCTTCTGGGTTTCCAGTGATCAATTTCAGAGAGTCAATTTTCATTATGGGTAGGTCCTCCAGATTTAAGAGGTTAGAGGTTAGAATACCATTTTTTTCCTGCAATCTATTTTAATAGGGAGGCTTCCCCCAAAAAGGGGGAGAAAGGGGGACCTAATCGAAAAGTTTCCGATGGCGAACCAAACGGGCGATCAAAGGGAAATAGGGAAATCAATCATATTGTGGATAGACAAAACCCTATACAATTTTGAAACATAGGAATCAATTTGTTTGTTGGTATTTGCAGAAGACTCATCATTCTAGAGAATCTTAGGTGGTGCAGGCTTTCGTCCATCCACAATAGGGGAAATCCAAAAATCACAATTAGTGTGTGAAGATAGTGGAATGAATTGGCCCAAAAAGAACCCAATTTCTTATTTATATTCATGAGGCAACCACAAGGCAACAAACCATAGGGGACCAATTCCAATAAAATATGCCCAATACGAAAACCGACAATTTATCTAAAAAATACAACGGTTTCGTTCAAAGCCCGGACCATTTTTCCAAAATATCCCGGATATTTCGATAATTATACTCCAAACCATTTTTCCGAAATATTCGGAATATTTCAACATTTCCTAAAATATTTAGAATATTTCCAAATATTTCGGGAAAATAATTCCCGGAATTTTCCAGATATATTCGGAATATTTCGATAACATGGTAAATAACTACGATTTTCCCAAAATAGCCCAAGCAAATTTAAGTAAACAATTCGTAAGAAATATACAGCGATTATATCTTATAAGAGCAGTCCAAACCAATTTTCCAAAATATCCAAGATTTTTTGGAAAAGCGATCCGGGAATATGCACGCAAGTACGACGAACAAATTTCACAATTTCGATATATAGAGTAAATCTATTTATCCAATAAATATATAATAAAATTACATTATTATATATATATATATATTCGATTCATCAATAATAATAAACAATAAATAATCATCAAACACATCATCAAATCAATTCAAAAAAACATATTATTTAATCAATACAATATACACAAATATACATAAAAAAGACAGTTATATTTTTCCAGATACTACAGGCAGTAACCACATCTTGAAACTTCTCCAAATGCCGTGTTACATCCCTCCGAGTCAGTCTGTCATGGAAAGAAAATCATAAAACAACAATGTAGTCTGGCGATGTAACCAAGCTTTAAGATATCTTTCGGCCTTCTTGGAAGGTCTTGCACTTGTCGCCGAAAAAAAGAGAGTCTGCTTTTGGCTAAGCTGGGTCTGTCTCACAATGGGAAAAGGACCACGGAAGCCGAAAAGCGCTGGCACCTGACCAAAAAAAGATCCTGAAAACAAACAAAGAATCCTCCCTATTTTGAGGCACGCAACCCTATGGTCTGAATTGAGACACAGGGGATCAAGAGCCGCCCTGTAAGCCAGCATCAGCCGCTCCCGAGCAAACGTGCGATTCACGCCTGTTTGCTGACCCTGAAACTTGTCGGCGCAATTGCACGTACATGTCAGGCAAGAAAATCAAGCCCAACGTCTAGAAAAATAAATTGGAGAAGTACTTTGGAGTCGCGATGCGATTCTCACACTTGCCGCTTTCTGGGACTGTTGCAGCTACGACAGAGTTGTCTTTGCTCAGACCTCCGTAACATTGGCGCTGCAACTAAAAACCACCCCAGTGGCGCCTCTCGGGCAAAAAGCCACATCCATTTATCTTGCCACGTGGTGTGTGGTCGCTTGCGTTCTCGTCACTGCAGGGACTTGTCTCGCCTCGGCTGGCACCTCCCACTGCTGGGCGTCCCACAGTTCCTCCGGAGGCTCAACCGGCTGCTCAACTGGCTCCTCCAGATCTGCAACCTCTTCTGCCTCCTCCAGGGCTGTGGGCCAGGAAACATACGGTGGATGGTTCCGAAAACCGTTTTGCACCACTTGAGAAGCCCCGGTTTCTGATGATTTTCCGGTGAATAGCAGCAAACATTGCATGGTTTTTTAGAAGGCTCCAGTTCGTTTCTAGTTTGCAGGCTCCGGTCCTCCGACCGGTCCTCCGACTGGTCCTCTGACTGGTGCTGCAGGTTGAGACCAAACCGTCCTCTACCTCTGCGGACCCAAAACACCAACAGTGCGGCCACCAGCCCCAGAGCCAGGATCGTGACAACTACCCCCCACACTATGCTGACCTGGTAGAGCATGGAGATGCAAAGCGTCCCACCTGGCGATGTGCAAAGATCAAGGCGCAAGGGGCAAAGTGGACCATCTTGGGCGATTTCCTCTTCTGGAACCCCCCCATTTCAAGACGTTGCTTGTTTCTGTGTGTTCCGTCTTTTTTTCCGGTTTTCCTTAAAACCCACTGAAATCAAAGAGAAACCTCAGAAAGACACGCCCAAAAATAGGGGCTGCAACGTCGCCCGGGCGCCAGGCAAGGCCACAAAGGTGCAGAGGGTATACAGCGTGGGCATCAGGCGCCAGCAGGATGCATAGAATCCCAGCGTGCATGCGGCGTCAAGCACCAAACGCCTCATTGGGCTTGGAAACCTCGATTGCATCAAATGGAGGATGGGGGTCCGTCCCTTTTTTGGTGGGGGGTGCACTTGTGCTTGGGGGAAACACGACAACCTTCTTTTGGGCTCAAAAAGATGAAAAGGCGTGCGAAGTCTGGCAATGGAACCAGATCAAGACGCCGAGAATGTTGAACAGCAAGTGGCAGAATGCGATCTGGATGCTGTCAGCGTTCCTGTATTCTCAGACCCGGGAAATGCTGCAAGCAACCCTCCGGCAAATGGCTTGCCTGTTGCAAATGCCCGCTTGATAAGGCATCTTTGGGTTCATGCGGCTCACCTGCTTGGGGGAGGGGGGGGGGGTGAACAGTTGAGTCACAATCAAAGCCCGGTATTTAAATGGTCTACCCAGAACCATGTAAAGAATTAAGAAGGCGGCCGCAACTATTTCTGGCTGAAACTGCCCCTTACTAACCTTCATCTACTCGGGTTTTGATTGTGGCTCAGTTGGGGATGTTTTGCTGGGGCCCTTCGCCATGTGTCATGATGGTCAGAGCCGCCAGCACCGACGTAACTGTGGTTCCAATGTTCGCCCCCAACGTGATCGGCAGCATTTTGCCCACGGGCAAAACCGCTATAGCCACCAAGGGGATCAATGCAGAGGTCACCACCGAGCTGGATTGCACAACGAAGGCCAAAGCCATGCCCAGCAACAGGGCCCAGAAATCATTCCTAACACACACACACACAACCACGCAGACACAAACACACAAACATCCGGTGAAAAGGATTTCTGTAATAACTTCTGTTTGCCTTTGCGGACGAAATTCAAGAGGCAAGGCCCCCTGCTAGAAATGAATGTGCATATATATATATATATATATATATGTTCACCCAACATGGAAAACATAGCCCCCGTCCAGAAGAACATGAAGCAACATGGCCTGAGCAACAAAGATCGCACTCAACCATTAGACGGGCGAGCTTCATGTTGCTCCCAATCTGGACCACCTGCGTTGCCTTGCGCATGACCAGACCGTGCAGCAGCCTCACCATGACATAGAGCGCTCCACACATCACCACAAGAGCAATGCCCAGGCCAAGTATGCCACCCCCCAGGTCACCAAGGCCTTGCAATAGCCCCTGGCGGATCAGGTGTGCTTCCTCGATGGACTTGAAGTAGTTGCCAGCGCTCAGGTAACAAGTGCTATTCTGCTTGCAGTCGTTCGCACCTCCACAAACCTCCAAAGCCTCAAAGCTCGTGACCTTCTTCCAAACTTCGCTTGTGGCCGAAGATAGACAAGAATAAGAGCCACAGGAGGAACAGTTGTGTAAGATGAGGTGCTCCGAAGGGGGGCCAAAAGAAACGGCTTTCACGACATCTTTGTCCACGGTCAGCAAAAGGCTGCTCAAAGGCCTTACCATTGCCTGTGTAGGAGAGGAAAATTCCAGGTTGGAAGCAGTGCCGAGTACGGCATCAGCTAAGCCCTTCGACATCAAGAAAAGAAGACCTCCTCTACCGGAAAGGGCAGCGCTGATTTGCTCAATGGGCAGCAATATCAAGACATTAAGAATATTGAAGATGTCGTGAGCGGTGGCAGCCGAAAACGCTCGCTCCAGCTCGAAGCGATTGCCTAAGTATGTCATGGATACTAGGTTGTTTGTTACAGCTGTCCCCACGTTGGCGCCCATGATGATGGGGATGGCTCTTTCCACCGTCAGCACCTCTGCTCCCACCAGGCCCACCACGATGCTGGTGCTGGTGGATGAGGATTGCACCATCACGGTGGCCAAAATGCCCACCATCAGGGCCGCGATGGGGTTGTCGGTGATGGCGAACAGCTGCCCGGCCCTTTTCCCGCCGAAGGCGGCCAGCGAGACGCCCACCAAGTCCAGGCCGAATAGGAAGCAGTAGAGCGCCAGAAGCACACCCAGGATCCTTAAGGTGGTGTACACAGCGAACTCTTCACGGCTCTGCTCTGATCCCAACTGCGCTACCCCGAGCGTCGACTTCTTGGCTAATGCAACCACTCCGCCCATGGCTTCTGCAGCAGTTACGCTCTAGCGACCATGCTGCAGGCCAAACATCTAACGGCGACATGCATTCACGAAACACATGGGTAACCCTATGACGAGTCTTTCCGTCTTTCTGGGCGAGGTTGCAAACCACCCATGCAAAGTCGAACTGAAGGGGAATACGTTGCGAGGAGCTCAGCCCTTAACCTCACTGGCTGAGTGGATTGGCCAAAACAAGTTTAAACTGTTTTTTACAGCAAAAATGGTCCAAACCCAAACCGTGACCAAACGTCGATGAACTCAGGGAGTGAGTAACAGTGGCTATCAATGTGCTTCCTCAGAACGAAGCGGCTCAAAGTGCGTTGGTCGGCTTGGCTCGGCTGGTCCTACAAAAAGATGCTATGCGGCCAGTGGAGCAGCGTATTAGCAGCTCTGTCTGGGGCTCCATCCTTAAATGTCCAACGCCGACAAAATCGAGGCTTTCAGGCCGGGCACGCCTTTTTTGGGGGGAATTGAAGACTTTAGCCTTCAAGATCCACGCAGGTCATGTAGCGGTTGGATGGAGCAAACAGCATGCCATTCTTCTGGGCCCCGTCAACAGCGGCTGTCGATCGCAGTGATCGTTTTCATACGGCCGGTGCAATTGGTCTGTGGTTTTTACAACATCCTCGGATCTAGGCAAGTGATGATATCATCACAAGGAGGCATCCGGGGGGGGAACCTCGTCCGTATTTGAGGGCTGTGATATTGCCTCCCCGACTTTTACAGCGCTTGCTTGCGGGGCAGCTGACGAAGGAGAGACATGTGGCTGATTCTGATGCACTGCTTTTTTTGCGGCGCACCACAAACGTTGATTGTGCAGTTGGGCGCAAGCTTTCTGCTCGATGGCATGGAGGCACAGAAGACTTAAACTCCACGGAGAACATCTGTACAGCAACAAAGAGAACCCAACCGCCCCAAATACAGAGGCGGCAAACCACGTCACAGGACGCGCTGCACTTCCTGTACGTATGCCTATGAGCTCTGAGCTCTACGTGAGCAGTGTTGAAAGTTAAACAAAGCATCTAGCCCACAAAGAAAGGCACCCTTCTTACACGTGCCGCTCCGCCTCAGACGACTCGTTGCTGGCAAGCTTGGCGCGCCTGAGCGAGCTTTCCATCTTTCCATCGACAGCATTCTACGAACCAGTGCGGGTGGCACTGTGAATGTGCATCAAAAGCAGGAACAGCCGTGCAAATATTGATGCCAGCCGTGCAAATATTGACGTCTGACAAAACATGCCCTGTCCCGTGCGCTACGCCTGATGGCCAAGCCTTGAACACAGGCACGGGTGAGGACAAACCAAAGTGCCATCTGGTGTTTTGGTTGCTCATTTTGAAACCGTTTTCCGAACTGCGGCGTACAAACTTCTTGCGGGCGGCAATGCGATGAATTTAGGGAACCCACCTAAGCCATTTGACTCCTGACCAACGGAGCGCTCATTCACCTCGAAGTGTCACACTTGCCTTAGCTTCCTCGGCCCATGCGTCAGACTCCCAACAGGTGCAACATGCGCAATATGCCCTAAGCTGAACACTGCAATCGCCACTCAAGGCCACCCCACGCTCCGGATGTTTCTGTCTAAACACATATTCCATTCCCTCTTCGGTGACGCACGCTGCGTCGCAACGCCCCAAGCGCCAAGCCGCTAAGCCTCGCACCGAAGCACAAAACGGCCGGCAGGAATGCAGCTGGGCCGGCTGCCGGCTGGAGCCAAAACGCGAAGAAGACACGTCTCAAAGACCTCTGCTAGGTCCTGGCAATTAACCACCGGCATCTCACACCCAATGCTCTTGTGAACAACAAACAGCAAACAGGTTTGCTTTCCGTCGCATGAGAAATCGCAACCTCATGTGATGGTTTTAGTTCTCCAACCAGGAATCCCTCTGTTCACTTACCCAAAACGACCGTGTTTTGTTCAAGGCAAGTATTCTGAGTCGATCAAGGTTCGACGCACGGTTGTGTTTCCATTTCAGCCACAATCGTTTCAGATGTCCGGCCCTGTGCATTCAAAAAACCGCTGGGAGCTCGCAGAAGGCTCTCATAGTTGCCAACACGTGCTTCCGCAGAAACCCATGAACAGCACCAAACCGGCACGAAGAAAACCACCTAAGAACTGCAAATTCATTAGTCGGACCCCCCAAAACTGTTTTCCAGGCCTTTCCCTCCTCTCCGATTCCTGGTGATACTCGCCTTTTTGAGTCCCGCGCTAGCGACGCTTCGGCCTCACGGGATTCAATGATGGGAATCCAATAGAACACCACAGTCAGAGATGGAACTAGAGTCGCCCTGTTCCAAGGGCTGAACAAAAAGCTAAAAACAATAATTAATGTATATATATGTATATATATATATATATTAATATCGACATATATGTACTTAGTTATTTAAGTTTTGAAACACTCAAGCCAACATTGTCAAAGCGGAAGGACATGACCACAGGGGCTCATTCTTTCGGCAACTCTTGAGCATACATGTGGCTGAGGCAAGCCGAGCGAGTGTGTTGGGAACATCGCTACCCGTGCAATGCTTCGAATCCTCGTTGTTCAACTCGCTTCAGGCTGCGCTTCTACAACCTGGAGTATGAACTTGAATTGCCGGCCCTGGACGTCACTTTGGGGACGCACAGCCAACCTTTCGTCCACTTGATTCAGCTTTCTGGGATTTTGCTTCAAAAAAACAACAGTTCAACTGGGGAGAACTAAGACTTTTCCTTCTTTCTGGAGTACGGATTGCATTTCCCCTTCTAAAGAAACCCTTCTAAAGCATGTTTGATTCTTCTGGAGTCCGGGTGCCCCTCAAATGGCTAAATTTGTCCAGCCGCACCGAGGCCGAGTCGGCAGCGGCTTGCCGCAGGAGCTCCAGAGTTTGGCATCGATGGTGACAGGCCTGCCGAGTGATCCATTCACCTGGGTTTTTTGCAGGTAAAGGGCTTGCCGCCCTTGAAAAACCTGAAATAGCTGGTGACTACTACAAGGGCAACAATAAAGCAAAACCAAAGGGTTAGCTACTATAAGGGCAACTGGGATTTAGCAGGCCATTTGCTGATGCATACACCATTTCCTGGCTCTAAATAAGTCGATTTTGTGTTATACACGACTATAGATACACTCACACACACACACACCACCTGGAGATGGGATGCGTAGGCAGGGGCAATTATATAGTGGTGCTCCTCAGGGGTACATGTAAGCCTACCGTCCAGACCTAGGGAGATGGCAAAGGGGACATTCCAAAGCGCATTTCACTCAGAGGTCAACAGCTAAAAATTGGTAAACCCGGAAACCGCACAAGCTTCGCCCGCGAACTCAACTTCTGAAGGAGAAAGCTTCAGATTCTGCGCTCAGAATGCTGTTTTCACCTGCAAGCCTTTGGAAGAATATGGATTGGCGAACTTGCAAACCACTGTTCAGCAATTCAGTAATCCGTTCGCCCTATTAGTAAAGGTCTCCCTAATAATAATAATAAAAACAAAGTCCCAAATCTGGGAATACTACTTTTAGAATAGCCACTACTAAACCAAATCGAAAGTAGGTATTTTCCCCCAGGTTCGTCCCAGCTCAAAGCTGCCGAAGTCCGAACCGACTCCTCCCTGCTTCACCATACTCTGTGCTCAACCCAGGCCCCGGGCGGCACGTAGGTGCTGGCCACCTACGCAAAGCGGCGAATCCCCGAATGGGAACACCATGAGGTGTACACCTTGACAAATAGGGCCTAGTGCTTCCAGCTACCAAGATTAAAAAGGTAGCTTTACATGATGGTTTCCCCTGGTTACATACGGTACCTGGAAGCATCGAGGGTGGGGATCCCATTTTAGAGGGAATCCTCCACGTTTCAAGACTTTCAGGATGGCAGGGGACCAAGCGGGTGAGCAAATCGTGAGGCCAACAGTTACCAAGACTAGGAAAGGCAAACCACAGGTAAAAGCGCTATCTGGCATAAAGCTCCTGTGTCGCGTTGGCATCCCTCTGTTTGCGCAATTTGTTCCTATGCTCTCAGGCTCAAAGCTGCTCCCTGCCGATCTAAACAAAAGGTCGCAATGGAAATTCCATGGATTTCGCCCTACTCGAGCCGTCACCTGGGCGTGACTCCTGCTTGCATATCCCAAAGACAATCCCGGCATGCGAAAACGAAACAATGCAAACATGAACTTCCCGGCAGCCTGTTGACAGATTTTGGAACCAAGATCCTTCCTTCAAGTGGAAGGCGTGATTCTTCACAGGCATGGACTTCATTTGCCAGGCTGCACAGATCAAGGCCCGGGCATGTGGCAAAATCGGTGGACGCCGTGTTCAATCTTGGTTTCGCTTCAAACCAAGAGAAAGGCGGGATAAACAAAGCACTCACCCACCTCATTTAGAGTTCTGTGAGGCTGGGCCGGAGCACTGACCCGTGGATGATGGCGCTTGTGCCACAGTTCTTTCGGGGGTCATAGGTTCGAAGGAAGCACCATGTCAAGAGAGCGTTTTAGCTCTTGTAAGTTTGACATGAAGTCAAAAAACAAAAAACACATGGCTCGAATCCAATGCGACAACGCGAGCCCATTTGGAAACTTGGGCTCAGTATGGCTCAGTGCTGAGTGCTGGTGATGCTGGCTGGATACGGGTCTTGGTCCGGTGCTATTTACGGATGCTGACTTGGCTCGTGTTGAAAGGAAAACCAACAAAAAACCAATCCCTTATAGTAGAAAACTCTAAGTATTATGGGTTTGTCCCGAATTTGAGCCGGATGCCTTTTGGTGTTCCTTCCAAAAACAAGCCCGCAAAGTCAAGTTCCCTTTGGATATCCCTCTTCCCATGCCCTCTTCCCATGCGGTATCATGGGAGTTGATCCAAAGTGAAACGAAAAGCAACATGCAGTGGACGAAATCCTGTACTAAGAAACCCCAACGGAAATACCAACAAACGTTCTGGTTTCAACCCTGGTTTCATTTCGTGCCAACAGAAATTGGACTTCGCAGAGAAACCTGGCCATGGGTCAAAAACCCGTGCCCTGAGTGAACATCCCAATCCAACCACTAAAATAGACCAAAAGT